TTATGGCAATAAATCTTTTATGATTATATCCAAGACTGTACATTAACTATTCCTTATATAGTAAAAACCTGGAAATTTTGGTGGTACAAAACAACAAGAAATTATAACAGTATTTTGTATATTGGTACATTTGTACATTTGGTATATTTGTACATTTTATTAAAAATGTATATTTCATACATGTTTCTTCACTAATCAGCATGATTATATACAATTAAGTGCAATTTTATAATTTGGGTTACAGCATTATACTAATTTCTATTAATACTAATCTTAAATTTTAAAGATTATGAATGAGAGATAAACATAAGTAAAAATATATAAATTGCATTATTTATAACTCAGTTATAAAAAAGCATCTAGTTCAATGCTTCACATGATTCTGCTCTCTCTCCCTTCTTTATATTTAATTATTAACCTTCCCATATTTTCTTCAGAGTAAATGAGTCATCTTCCCACAGAAGACATTCAGCTGCTGTTGGTAACTCAGGCTAACTTGGGTTTTAATTTGTTTTCTGATGGACAATAAGACATGCTTTGGAAGGCATTAAAATAAATGATTCCAAATGTTTAAATTGTTTTAAGTCAATACAATTTACCATAAAAAATGAATGAAATAAATAAAAACCTTTACCTATTTGGAGGGGATAAAATCCATAATTGAAAATGTCAACTCTGATAAAAAATCATAAATATTTAAAATTAAATGTGTTGTATATGGCTCAAATTTTATATTCACCATGGTAGCCTGAAAGAATGAGTATGCTTTGAGCTTAAAATGAAAAGGGGAGTTGCTGCCTAGCAAGACGAGAATGGACTAACATCAACACCATGAAAAACAGGTGGTTTCCTAAGCATTCCAAAAAAGGGAAGTGTTATGCATTAATATTTGCTAATTTAACATTATATTAACTTGTTTGGATTTTATGAATACATGCCTTATTATTCATGTAATTTAAAATTACATGGTCATGTGTGTTTAAAATAGATTTTTAAAAGAAAATAAAAGTATGAGGTAATATTAATCAGAGCATAAAGTTCATCTTTAAAAACCATAAAAGAAGGGGGTGGTTGGGGAAATGGGTCAAATAGGTGATGGGAATTAAGGAGTGCACTTTTCATGATAAGCACCAAGTGATGTATAGAACTGTTGAATCACTATATTGTACACCGGAAACTAATATGACCCCATATGTTAACTAACTGGAATTAAAATAATAACTTAAAAAATAAATAGAGCCATAAAAGAAAATCTCAAAGTCCTTAATGAAGTAGAACACAATTCAGAAGAGAGACCTATTAAAAAAATGTTTAATTTGGTAACAATTATAAGGACCTTAAAGCATCACTTAAAATATCAAACTACTATTGTATAATAAACTGATAGTAATATAAAGCTTGAACAACCATAAAGCCTTTTTACTAAAACTGGCCATTTGACCAGTAGGATCAGCATCACTTAGGAGTTTCTTAGAAATGCAGAATCTCAAAGCCCATCCTTGAACTGTTGAATGAATTGGTATTTTGTCAATAAGGTCACTAGGTGATCCATATGCATATTAAAGTGTAAGAATCACTGTCCTATAGCATAATTTTAACTATTAATTCATAAATTATACAGTATTGTTTATTTCATTGCATTAGAAGTGAATGAGCTACCTGAACAAAGTTCTAGAAAATTCAATTTGCTATCTGAAAAATCTATTTCTATTTATACATTTGCATATGTACACACCTAATAAATTTCTCTTATTTAGATAGATACTTGATGAATATTAATAGCATACAGTAAAAGTGAATTAATTTTTTCTAATCCTAAAGTGGCAGGGTAATGAAAATTATATATTTGCGAATCAAAGAAAATAGTTTACAATAATTTCTTCAAATTTTTTAAAAGATGATTTTAAAGAATCTTCTTTTTACAAATCATGATAACTTTAAAAATGATTCAATCAGCAACTTCCCATCCTAAACTACTGATGTTAGAATTCTCATAACTTCTAAAAACTCTAATTTTCCAATGTAGTAGGACTCTACTTTGCTAAAATCGCTGGAGCCTTGCATAAAACACAAACACACACTGTGGAAATTCCAAGCTATTTAAACAGAATAAGCATAGGGATTTCTGTCATTTTAAAATGCAGAAACAGGAGACATTATGCCTTAAGGACCAGAAGATATCTATAGGCATTTCCAAATTAATTCAATCTACAGCAATGTATCAAAGGGATCCCAGTCCCTCAGAGCACTCTGGATGCTGAGATAGGTTCCTGAGAACCTTGGAACCCACCCTTGAACTGTTGAATCAATTGATATTTGGTCAATAAGGTCACTAGGTGATCCATATGCATATTAAAGTATAAGAATCACTGTCCTATAGCATAATTTTAATTATTACTTCATAAATTATACAGTATTGTTTTTTATTTTTTTGCATTAGAAGTGAATGAGCTAAGTACATTCCATGTACAACATCAAAATTTACTAAAACGAATACAGACAATTCAAAATTCTATGATAAACTTAGAGTACTCTTCAAACAACTTATGCCAAATATTTACTTACTTAAGTACTTCTCTAAATCTGAGACTTTAGGGCGAGTAACTATAAAACAGGGGGCAATATAATCTTTAATGATATTTACCTGAAAACTTTCCACTTTTAGGATGAGTAACAATTATGAATAAATGATAGTCATTTTAATAAAATACGTGGAATTTTTAACAACTAGGATTACTTGAAAATGAAAGATTATTTTTTAATCAAATTTAAGAGTAATTCAATCATATGCCTCACACTAATTTGTATTACAGAATACAAATAATCACGATTTGACCTATCCTATCTTTTATTTTATGTAAAGGTTTATCTGACACATAATATAAAGAGTTTAACTTATGAAAATGTGATTTATTTTGTGAAGATATCTTAGGAAATTATTGTGTTTTAAAGAAAACATTATCTACTGAAAATAACATGATGTAAAGAGAATCTGGACTCTTAAACAACTTACGTGGAATATCCTCTTGAGGTCTATTTTTCCGTAGTAGAGAATATAGACACAAGCTACCAAATACCTAGAAAAGATGGATGCTGTGATGTTGAGAGAAGAAATAGAGAGGGAGAAAAGAAATCTCAGACTTTAATTTTTTCATTCAACTTTATCCACAGTTTGCATCGGTAATATACATTTAGTGTTCCATTTATTTTTAAATGCATCAGAAAATCAATTATGATAGATCTGTGACCAATACAAAGATTTCTGAATTCTTCAAAAAATTCACTTAGAAAAGTCAATAAACTAGCATTCTGTAGAGATCATTATTAAACAAATGGTAATGCATTTTTACTTCTTATTTCAATTCTAACATATCCAACATCACTTCTTTCTTGTGCCATATAGTAATAAAATTTAGCAGATGTAGCTATCTACTACATTTTTTAGGGCCTAATAAAATATTTCAGTTTGATTATTTAACCCTCTTCAAATCACAAATCCAATTCAAATAATTATAATCATTCTTAACTCAATAATTGATGAAGTAAATATAAAAGAACCATAAGGACCATCTAGAATAAAATTTACACTTATTTAAAAACTAATAAAAGAAATACATTAGAGCCTTGGTAAAATGTTTCCTTGGGGACTAGGCTGAGAAACTGACTTAGAGGCGGTGTTGCCTTCTGGCACTACAGTAAATAAACTAACATGATATAGACCTCAGATGGACCCATCTTAAATGGAATTTTGCTTTGCAGTAAAGAATGCTACGGTATGGTTCTGGTGTATTTTCCCTTTAAGGTAATAACTGACAAGTAAATGAAATGCAACAAGGAAGTGGCCTATAATTTCACTAATATTTCAATGATATGAAACAGGAAAATAACTGTAAAATAACTTCCAGGTTGATTAATAAGAGGACTTCTACAACATGATAACTAAGAAAGGCATATGGATGATTGCTGTAGCTTTTACCAGTCACTTTATTTGTAACATTGTCAAATTTCTACAACAAAAACTAACAACTTAAGATATTTATTTGCCATTTCTTACCTTTATAACCCAAGTTTTCACTAGGGAGATTATGTCAATGAAGTTTTGTTTTTTTTTTTTTTAAAGATCCAACTGAAAAATAGTAACTAATTAGCTCAAATATTTAAAGTAATAAATTACTAATAATTTAATTTTTAAACCTTATAGTCACAAGAAGCTTTAATTCTTTAAAAGCTCCAATTTCACACTTGGGGAATGTAAAGAACACATCCATATTCTAATGCCAAAATTTAATTATATGGCTTCATGCCAACTGATCTAAAAAAGTTGAGTTGTTCCTAAACCAACCCTTACTATACCATTTGGCACACTAGTTTTTAACTTTTATATATGCCCTTTGAAATACCCAGGCCAACACTTTTAATAAGTTGCATCCATATTAAGAGGTAACAAGTGCAAATAATCACATATTTAAGATATGGTACTTGCTTGGCTACTACAAAAGTAATTATACTAAAGTTCTTCTACAGCAAACTGAGTTATTCATTACAGTAATGTTTTTGAAAAATTCTTGCACTACTACCAACATAAATGCATCCATCTCCAAATTAAACAAGGACTTTGGAACATAGTATACTTATGAAAATATTTATAGACTGTTCTGTGTTTAACTCAACATCTTATTAATTGAGGATCATAAGATTTACAGGATCCACAGAGGACCAGATTTTAAACAAAAACCTATTCTTCAATTGCTGCTCTCTGAATCTGAATAAAATTAATGGCAGCATACTCACATAATGTTACTGAAAGTCAGAACATAAACCCAAACTTTGGCAGTTTTATCAAAATGTCCTTGATAATTAGTACTTTGCTACTTCTCAAAAACCTTACTGCTTTGTGTAACATTTTCAATACAGAAATAAAATACTCTTCAAATAATACATTTTAAAAGATGATTAAGTTTTGCAAAATTAAATAGCATAAATTAAGCATATTAACATTGTTTTTTTTTTTTTTTTTTTTTTTGACAACATGACATAACCAATTTAAGGAAAACTGCAATGGACTAAATAAAAAACCACAAATGTCACAATGTGAGGCACATTTAAATCCTCACATATTACTGACCTTACAAAATCTACTAAAATATTTTAAAGTTCCATTGATTCCATTAATACATAAAAAGAAATTGCAAAAATGCTTAAGACTATATAAGAGTCATCAATTACACAGGCACTTCACATGTAAACAATCTACAGTACAACTGAAAATATTTTGGCACCAACCTATAATACTAAAAGAATTTAATATAAAGCCAGAGTTCTGCATTTTCTACTCATTTTTTTCTAGAAAACTAAGACCAAAGATTGAAGAAACTGTGTATAAACTAGAATTAGAAGTGTATTAAATAACTCAAATATAGAATAGTTTTAAATCGGTAAAAAAATGATTACCTCATCCAGGTGTTTACTAGTATGCTATGATATAAAAAATTAAACCTAAATGATTAAATTGAAACCACATTTTAAATTTAGTATCAATCTGGTTTTTGAAAAATAATCAAGGTTATCAACTGACTTAGTAAAAAGAGAATTTGAATTTATCAAAAACTCATATTAAGTTAATCCTGTCTCCCCCAAAAGAAGTTCGGGCAATTCAAATTTAATTTTTATGTTTTAACATGATTTTTTTAAACCTAAGGCTTGACCTAATTAATTTATTTTTGATTAGAGATTCTTATCATGAATTTGAGATATTCGAAATCACTTCAAATAAATGCAACTATACACTTATGATTTTGAAATGTTACATCAAGCAGTAGAAAGCTGAGATGCCTTGGTTGTAGGTAATTCAAGAAGAGCCTGAACTGTGACACCGACTTTCACAAGACCTCTCTCTTCCAAAATGTGATGAGGCAAACAGAGTCTTTCCTGAAAAACAAAATAAATGACATCAGAACATTTGTTTTTCAATAGTGCAGTAAAGCCTAAACAAGTCAGAAATAGATTTTTAAAACGTTTCCTGTAAAACATCAAGTAAAAAGTACACCATTCTAATTAAATTAAATTCTAATTTTTACAATTGTCTTATTGAGGTGTAATTCACATATAATATTATATTGGTTTCAAACATAAAACAGAATGATTTGAAATATGTATATGGTATAATGCAAAATGATCATCACAATAAGTCCAGTACCATCCATTACCATACAAAGTTAACTTTTAGGATTTACTCTCTTGGCAACTCAAAGCTTATTCTACAATATAACTGACTATAGTCACTAAGTGGTACATTACTCCCATGACTTATTTATTTTATGACTGAAAGTTTGTACCTCTTGAGCCTCCATCACCTAATTTCACTTACTCTCCTCTAGCAAACACCATTCTATTCTCTGTATGTATAATGTACATTTTGGTTTTTTATTTGTTTTTTTTAGACTCCACATATAAGTGAAAACATACAGGATTTGTTTTTCTCTGTCTGACATAATTTGCTTATCATAGTTTCCTCAAGGTCCAACCATGTCACAAATGGCAAGACTTCATTCTTTTTATGGCTTAGTAATATTCCTGTGTGTGTGTGTGTGTGTGTATCACATCTGTATCCATTAATCAGTTGATGGACACTTGGGTTGCTTCAATATCCTGGCTATTGTAAATAACAACACAATGATCGCCGGGGTGTATATATTTCTTTGAATTGGTATTTTTGTTTTCTTTGGATAAACTTTCAGAAGTAGAATTGCTGGAACTTATGGTATTTCTATTTTTATTTTTTTGAGGAACCTGCATAGGGTTTTCCATAGTGACTATACCAATTTACATTCCCACCAACAGGGTATTAGAGTTCTCTTTTCTCCACATCCTCACCAACATTTTGTCTTTTTGACAGTCATTCTAACAGATGTGAGATGATATCCCATTGTTCTACTTCTAAAAGTCTGGGTAGCTCAAGCATCCAACTCTTGATCTCAGCTCAGATCATGATCTCAGTGTCAGGAGAATGAGCTCCCGTTGGGCTCCTTGCTCAGTGCGGAGTCTGCTGGAGGTTCTATTCTGCTCCTTCTACCTACCCCTCAGGAGGATAAATAAATAAAATCCTTTAACAAAATCAATGAAAGCAAGCCAACACCAAGACAAATCAATAGTTAAATTTGTGAAATATAAAGATAAAGTAAAAATCCTAAAATCAGCAATAAAAATGGAGTCCCTAACTTATAAGGGAAGGCAAAATTAGCAGAAGATCTTTCCACAGAAACTTGGCAGGCCAGAAGAAAGTGGCATGATATATTCAAAGTGTTGAACGGGAAAAATCTGCAGCAAAGAATACTCTATCCGGCAAGGATATCAATCAAAATTGAAGGAGAGATAGAGTTTCCTAGAAAAACAAAAACCAGGAATAGGTGACCACTAAATCAGCCCTTCAAGAAATATTAAAGGGGACTCTCTGATTAGGAAAGAAAGACAAATGCAACAAAGACAAGAAAGGAACAGAGAAAATCTCCAGAAACAATGACAAAACAAGTAATAAAATGGCACTAAATTCGTATCTATCAATAGTTACTGTAAATGTAAATGGACTAAAAGCTCCAATCAAAAGACAGAGGGTGTCATAATGGATAAAAGACAACACCCACCTATATGCTGCCTAAAGGAGACTTATTTTAAACCTAAAGACACCTACAGATTGAAATTGAGAGGATTGAGACACACTGGCCAAGCTAATAGATGCAAAAAGAAAACAGGAGTAGCAATACTTATATCAGAAAAACTAGATTTTTAAACCAAAGACTGTAACATGAGATGAAGAAGGGCACTATATCATAATAAAGGGGTCTATCGAACAAGATCCAACAATTATAAATATTTATGCCTCCACCTTGGGGGCAAAACAAAACAATAACAAACATAGAGGAATTCATTGGTAATAATACAATAATACTAGGGAACGTTAACACCACACTTACAGCAATAGACACATCATCTAAACAGAAACTCAACAAGGGAAAATGCCTTTGAATGACCCACTGGAACAGATGGACTTATCCAGAACATTTCATCCTAAAGCAGCAGAATACACATCCTTTTCAAGTGCACACTGGACATTCTCCAGAATAGATCATATACTAGGTAACAAATCAGGCCTGAACAAGTATAAAAAGATTGACATCAGGGCACCTGGGTGGCTGAGTGGGTTTAAGTGTCTGCCTTCAGCTCAGGTCATGATCCTAGGGTCCTAGGATGGAGCCCTACATTGGACTCCCTACTCAGTGGGAGTCTGCTTCTCTCTCTGCCTGCCACTCCCTCTGCTTGTTCTCTCTCTCTGACAAATAAAATCTTAAAAACAAAAACAAAAACAAAAAAAAAAAGGAGAAAAGACACAAATAAAATGAGAAAGAGAAGAAATCACAACCAACACAACAGAAATACAAACAATCATAAAAGAATATTATAAAAATAATATTCAAAAAAATGGGCAATCTGCAATAAATGGATAAATTCCTAGAAATATATCAAAACCTACCAAATATATCAAAACCTACCAAAACTGAAACAGGAAAATTTATAACACTTGAACAAACCACTACCCACCAAAGAAACTGAATCAGTTACCAAAAATCTCCCAACAAATAAAAGTCCTGGGCCAGTTGACCTCACAGGAGAATACTAACAAACATTTAAAGACTTAATACCTATTCTTTCAAAACTTTCAAAAAAGTTTTTTAAAAAAACTTTCAAAATCATTCTACAAACCCAGCATTACCTTGATTCTAAAACCAGACTGAGACTCACATAAAAAGAGAACTACAAGCCAATATTCCTGATGAAAAATTCTCAACAAAATACTAGCAAATCAATCCAACAGTACATTAAAAGAATCATTCACCAGGATCAAATGGGATTTATCCTTGGGTTGCAAGAGTGGTTCAATATTAGCAAATTAATCAACATGATATACCACATTCATAAAAGAAAGGATAAGAATTGTATGATTCTGACAATAGGTGTAGAAAAAATATTTGACAAAGTAAACTATAAAACACTGATGAAAGAACTTGAATATGACACGAGAAATGGAAAAGCAGTCCATGCTGATGGACTAGAAGAATAAATACTGTTAAAATGTCCATACCATCCAAAACGATCTACATCTTGAATGCAATCCCTATCAAAATACCACCAGTATTTTTCAGAGCTAGAATAAACAATCCTAACATTTGTATGGAACCAGAAAAGACCCCAAATAACCAAAGCAATCCTGAAAAAGAAAAGCAAAGCTGGAGGCATCACCATTCCAGACTTAAAGTTATATTACAAACCTGTAGTGATCAAAACAATATGATACTCACTCAAAAACAGAAACATAGATCAATGGAACAGAATAGAAAACCCAGAAAAGGACCTATAATTATATGGTCAACTAATCTTCAAAAAAACAGGAAAGAATATCCAACGGAAAAAAGACAGTCTCTTCAGTAAATGGTGTGATGAAAACTGGACTGCAACATGCAAAGGAATGAAACAGGACTACTTTCTTACCCCAAACAGAAAAAAGAAATTCAAAATGTAATAAAGACCTAAATGTGAGATAGGAAGCCATCAAAACCCTAGAGAACACGGTCAGTAACCTCTTTCACATTGGCTGTAGCAAATTCCTACCATACACGTGTCCTGAGGCAAGGGAAACAGAAGGAAAAAATAAACTATTGGGACTTTATCAAGATAAAAAGCTTCTGAAGAGTGAAGGAAACAAACAACAAAAGCAAAAGGCAGCCTTCAAAATGGGAGAAGATATTTTCAGGTGACATATCTGATAAGAGGCTGGTATCCAAAATTTATAAAGAACTTACAAAACTTACCCCCCAAAAATGTAATTCAGTTAAAAATGGGCAGAAGACATGAGTAGACATTTCTCCAAATATATCAAGATAGATGGCTAACAAACACACGAAAAGATGCTCAAAATCACTCATCATTAAGAAAATGCAAATTAAAACCACAATGAGATATGACTTCACACCTGTCAAAATAGTTAAAATTAACAATACAGGATACAACAGATGTTGGAGAGGATGTAAAAAAAAGGAACCCTCTTATACTGCTGCTGGGAATGCAAACTGGTGCAGTCATTCTGGAAAAGAGTATGGAGATCACTCAAAAAGTTATCTTTTCATCAAGATAAAAAGCTTCTGCACAGTAAAGGAAAGTCAACAAAACGGAGAGGCAATGCACGTAATGAGAGAAGATATTCCGAAAGGATGCTACAAACAAAGGGTTAATATCCCAAGATCTATAAAAAACTCCTCAAACTCAACACTCAAAAAACAGATAATCACCAGGAGGTTCAGAGAACCCCCCTCAAAATCAATAAGAATAGGTCCACACCCCGTCACCTAATAGTAAAATTTACAAGTCTTAGTGACAAAGAGAAAATCCTGAAAGCAGCCCGGGAAAAGAAGTCTGTAACATACAATGGTAAAAATATTAGATTGGCAGCAGACTTATCCACAGAAACCTGGCAGGTCAGAAAGAGCTGGCATGATATATTCAGAGCACTAAATGAGAAAAACATGCAGCCAAGAATACTATATCCAGCTAGGCTATCATTGAAAATAGGAGGAGAGATTAAAAGCTTCCAGGACAAACAAAAACTGAAAGAATTTGCAAACACCAAACCAGCTCCACAGGAAATATTGAAAGGGGTCCTCTAAGCAAAGAGAGACCCTAAAAGTAGGAGATCAGAAAGGGACAGAGACAATATACAATAACAGTCACCTTACAGGCAATACAATGGCACTAAATTCATATCTCTCAATAGTTACTCTGAATGTTAATGGGCTAAATGCCCCAATCAAAAGACACAGGGTATCAGAATGGATAAAAAAACAAAACCCATCTATATGTTGCCTACAAGAAACTCATTT